CCCTCCTCCCCGCCCCCCCTGGAAAATACCTGCCTGCCATCCCCAAGCACTTGGAGGTTCCGTACATTTCTGAGACTATCGGGATTTGGTTCAGTAGACTTGTAATCCCTCAGGGACCATACCATACAGGGGTACAGGTACCCTTAAAAAATAGGATCACACGGGGACTCGTACACACGCAGAATCCAAGACATACACGCAATAGGTTGGACGTGTCTTTATTCAACCTCAAATACTATGTAACTATGTCATGATTCCCCCTATGGGGCAAGCTGAATGTTTGAGAGGGGGATGGTACAAATCAGGGGAAGTTGTATCTCCAAAATGACAGAAGCTGTGTCTGGCCTGCAAACCGTTCAATTACCCTTATAGGGAACATCAGTATGTCTCTATGGAGACTGATGCTCACAGGGGATCTTTCAGGGACTGGAGTATCCATGGGGTTTGTTTATAGCCAAGTCACAGAGCCATTCATCCAACAAATCTTTCTAAACCAGGGGTCTCAAACCTCTGGCCCCCCAGCTGTGGTGGAACGCCAAATCCCATGAGGCATTGCAAGATGCTCACACCCACAGACATGACTCCCGAAGAGAGATGCATCATGGGATTTGTAGTTTCACCGCAGCTGGAGGGCCGGAGGTTTGAGACGCTTGTTCTAAACATTCATTCTGTACAAATTCACACAGAAACAAAATGTTATTTTCAGGTTGAATGTATGTAATGTAATACTGCACTTTGGCCACTAGATGGAACACACAATCATAAAAAAAACAACAACTCTTCTTTCCTATACTCCTTGGCTCCATCTACTGGCCAAAATGCAGTACATACATTCGAACTAAGATGAAAATAAATCTAAGACTCTTCATTTTTGTGTCTAATCGCACAAAACAAAACATTCAGAAAGATTTGTAGAGTGAATGGCTCTTCAAATTGGCCATAAACATGGCAACCGACCAATCAGCTTCTCTCTTGTTCAGTTTTGAAAATGAAAAGGTGGATGCTGACTGGTTGCCAGTGCACAGCTGCTCCAGATTTGATAAATACCACTCACTCTGTATAGGACATGAGGACGTCGAGAGGCATACCATTGCAGCAGCGGAGGAGCAGACAGGCTGCTGGCTCCGAGGATCGAGTATAACCCCCCCCAAGTGTCTTAAAGGAGAACTATGAGGGGGGGGTGATTTCCACTCGCCTCATAGTTCTAAGCCGACCTGTGACAATGAGACTGTCACAGGTCGGCTCAGTAGATCGGGAAGTGAGGGAACACATACCGGGTTCGCTCGCCTCTCAATCCTGTCACGGCTCTCCGCCGTGACAGGGGGAGGGGCTGGATTCCCCCCGCTCCAATCCGCCAGCGCTCACTGGGGGAACGTACGGGGGAGGGTACAGCTGGCTCTGCCTCTAGATAGGCAGAGCCAGCTGTCACTCACGCAGCTGGGCGGATCCAGCCATCTACGTCGGGATCCGCTCCGGCTGCGGCGTCTCAGTATACCGCGAGCTGTAGCTCCCTATATACTGAGCCTAGGGTGACGGGAGGACGCTAGTTTGTGTCTTCCCGTTACCCCTAAGGAGAACTATGGGGGAAAAACACTGACCTCGTAGTTCTCCTTTAAGCCACCTTTAAAATGGAGCTCGTGGATCACACGGAGACAAAGGCACATGGTTTTTGGTTTTATAGATCTGGAACATGCAAGGGTTAAAATACCAACACAGGTAGCTGGTGCTCCGTACATCAATTCACGTGCAGCTGCCCAGTGGGGGGGGGGGGATTCCATCCTCGGCGCAGTCATTGATTCTGCTTTTCATAATAAACATTTGGCCTCCACAACAGAAATTTTCCACAATAAAAAAGAGTTTAAAACCCGAGGTTAGCAAGAAAAACTCCGCTCCATTAACTGGGTTAATAGTTGACTGTTTAGACGTCCAATTTACCAGAACGGGTTGTTTGTCGCGATTCTCTTTATCGTGTTTATAGTTTTTGAGAGCACAGCACGGCGATATTTCCGGAGACGGTATCATTAAAATGTTAACTTGACTCAAAGGTCGATGCCGTCCCTGCTCCTCCGCAGCGTCCAACCACGGGATGACTTACCGGAACTAGAATAACAGGGCGACTGTCCACAGCAACCAGGCCTTAGATCTGGACTGGGAAGTGGCATTACTAAGAAAGTCAATGCTTTGGCCTGATGAGATCTAAAAGGGCAGACCCGACCACCGGCACCAAGACAAGCGTTCACTCTACAGGGCTGCAACAACTAATCGATTATGAGAATAGTTGGCAACTATCGAGAGATTTTTTTTTAATGCAACCAATCGATTAGTTGAAAAAAATAAAAAAAAAAATCGGGCAACTAATTGATTATGAAAATAATTGTTAGGTACAGCCCTACTCCTCTCCATAGGAACATATCTGAACGCTTGTCTGAGCCTGACCTTGGTGCACCTCCAGCCAACACCCCTAGACAGCGTTAAACGTTAGAGAAAAAGGTGATCAAATGAAACCTTTTCTGACCCGTCCAAATTGTTATTTCAACCCGAGAAGTTTCCCACACGTAGGAGATCATCGGTGCAAAAACAACTTTTCCAGCACAACCCCAATGCCTCTGATGTGAAGGGGCCCTTAGGAGAAAGCCCGCTCCTTCCGTCGGCCGCTCTGATAGTGAGCCCAGCAGTCAACTGATTGGGTGCACACAGCAGGCTGACAACGCGATTGCTAACTGCAAGGCAGCGGCTTAGCGTTGTCACCCTGCATCAGGAAGCTGCTATAACTGGCAGGACCTCCAGGTTGCAAGAGATTCACAGAAAATGAATGCCGGTGAACACTGTATAGAGTGAGATTTGAGGCGATGAGAAAGACATGTATGGTTCTCCTAGTGCGCCAGGTTGTGACAGCTCCCCATCCTGCTGAGGCGCCTCAGGCGGCACATTTCCACCTCTTTTTGTGAATGGCACTTCTACTATTTCTGTATTGCAAACACCGATAGCGATCAGATTGTGTGATTAAAGTTATTGCAGCCATCGGTTTCTTCGATAGACCTTCCCTCTCAATTCTGAAATATGGTCCAACCACCCGAATCTGGTTCACACTGAAGTGACACTTTTCGGGACGGACGGCCGGGAATAGGTTTTGGCTTAGAAAACTTGCCAGCAAACTGACTCAACGGGTAATTATTATAGAGGATTTATATGGCGCCAACAGTGTGCGCAGCGCTGTACAATATAAGGAAGACATTACAGTTACAATACAATTCAAGACAAGATGGTGAGGAGGGCCCTGCCCCTGAGGGCTTACAATCTAAAAGGGGAGGGGCCAGGGATACATGAGGTGGTAGCTGCGCGGGGAGGATTGTTTGAGAACGTGATAGTTCAGTGGTTAGGTTGAGGTGGGATCGGCTTCCCTGAAGAGATGAGTCTTAAGGGATCGCCAGTCAGAGTGGGAGATAGACGGACAGGTTGGGGTAAAGATTTCCATAGGATGGGAGAGACTCTAGTGAAGTCCTGGAGGCGAGCATGGGAGGAGTTGACGAGGGAGCTGGAAAGCAGGAGGTCTTGTGAAGAGCGGAGGGGACGGTTAGGGTGATACTTGGAGACCAGGTTGGAGATATACCCGGGGGCGGAGTTTTGGATTACACCGACACAATGAAACGATACGTTTGTTAATCGCTTTCAATTGTGAAGCTGAGGGAAGCGAGCGGCGCACGATGCGTCTGCGCGCGGAGTGCCGCTGGAGGAAAGCTGGCGTTGTAAAGAGAAGACAGGCAGGCAGGATGAGCGGCGCAGGCTGGCATCCATCCAGGCGGTTATATATTGAGTGCGCTCGGTGAAATAATCTACAGACTGTGCCAGACTTGTGTCCGGAGGAACTCATGAACCTCACTCTGACATTTCTCCTCTGTTGCAGGTGAACTCATCTCCACGTCAGAATGTTCTCCTACCTGCGCAAGAAGCTGAACCGTCACCTGGTAAAGCGCCAACGCCGCCGCAGGGCGCGGCTGGTGTCCAAGGATGGAAGGTGCAACATTGAATTCGGCAACGTGGAAGAGCAATCCAGGATAGCCTTCCTGGCAGACATCTGGACCACCGTCCTGGACCTGAGGTGGAGGTACAAGATGACCATCTTTATTTCGGCCTTCCTGGGGAGCTGGTTTTTCTTCGGCTTGCTTTGGTATGCCGTCGCCTACCTGCACAAGGACCTCCCGGAGTTTAACCCCGCGGTCAACCACACCCCATGCGTGGAGAATATCAACGGCCTGACCTCCGCCTTTCTCTTCTCCCTGGAGACCCAGGTGACCATTGGCTACGGGTTCCGCTGCGTGACGGAGCAGTGCGGCACGGCCATTTTCCTACTGGTCATTCAGTCCATCTTGGGCGTGATCATTAACTCGTTCATGTGTGGAGCCATCCTGGCCAAGATCTCCAGGCCCAAAAAAAGGGCAAAAACCATAACCTTCAGCAAAAACGCCGTCATCAGCAAGCGAGGCGGGAAGCTTTGCCTTCTCATCCGGGTCGCAAACTTAAGGAAGAGCCTGCTGATAGGGAGTCACATATACGGCAAGTTGCTGAAAACCACGGTGACGCCGGAGGGAGAGACCATCATCCTGGACCAGGTAAACATCGACTTCACGGTGGACGCCGGAAACGAGAACCTCTTCTTCGTGTCGCCGTTGACCATCTACCACATCATCGATATAACCAGCCCGTTCTTCGAGATGTCAGCCGAGACTCTCCTGCAGCACGACTTCGAGTTGGTGGTCTTTCTGGACGGGACGGTGGAGGCCACCAGTGCCACCTGTCAGGTGCGCACGTCCTACACCCCCGAGGAGGTGCTCTGGGGGTTTCGCTTCGCTCCGATCGTGTCCAAAACCAAAGAGGGCAAATACCGCGTGGACTTCAGCAACTTCGGCAAGACGGTGGAGGTGGAGACGCCTCACTGCGCCTTCTGCCTCTGCAACGAAAAGGAGGCCAAAGCCAAGGAGGCCAAAGCCAAGGAGGCCGAAGCCAAAGCCAAGGTGAGCAAAGGATACGATAACCCGGCCTTCGTCCCGGAGGTTCTGGAGGCCATAGAAACCAGCGAAACCAAAATGTGAAAACACGAAAAACCTCTCCCCGATGATCGGAGAGACCGAGCGAAGTCCACGGGACTGGGACATGCCAATTCTCTGTGAGAACGCGCACTATGGTGGTCTATGGTGATACACGGTCAGACGTGTGTTACTTTGTAACGGGAACTCGGCGCACATGAAAGTGGAACAATCGCTTCCCGTTAATGATGGAGTCGGGGGGAGGGGTTAACAACTGTCCGGTCTTCATTGCTGCGTCCCCATTGGGGTGACCAACTTTCACATCTTATGGGGGGGGTCACCAGGACAGGATGTAACGGGAAATCCCTCTAATGGAGTGTAAGACGAACAACAAAAACCTGGCAGAGGTTCCGACTTCCATACAAACAGCCGGACTAGGGCTGCAACAACTAATCGACATAATCGATTATTGAAAAAGTTTTCAACTTTTTCAATAATCGATTAATCGGCTTCTGATCAGTTGGCCCTGTTCACGGCTCCACACACGCTGCGCACCGCACCTCCTCCCCAACTCACGCTCAACGCTGCCAGACCCGCATCCACGCTCTACACGCCGCACCTCCTTCCCGCCTCACACTCACCGCCCGCCCACATTCTCCCTCGGCACAGGGACGCGGGGAGATGTAGTAAGGAGAGGACGTTCCGTCAGTGGTTCTACTCAACGCGGAGTATTCCTTTAATGTAACAATAAATGTACTTCCGCCTGAATTAGAGCCGATATTGCAGTCCCTGTACAGCAGAGCTCAGACTGGGAGAGGAAGAAGCAGCAAAAAGGAGGACTGCAGCCTGCTTCTTGCCCTGCAACAGAGAGGTGCGCTGTCGTGTAAGGAGCATGCTGACAGGAGGAGAGAGCAAATGTAACAGAGAGAGATAAGTCAATCAGTCCGCCTCTTCTTCACTTTCCAGTCACCGGATGAGGGTGGGGGAGGGGCCCTGTAGGTAAAACTACAGCAGAGAACGATCAGGTCCCCTCCCCCGATAGGCAGAGCTGTGCACATTACAGGACTGGATGCCCGGAGTCCGGCTTTCAGTGACATTCGAGGTCAGATTTTGATACATTGTAAAACATAAATGGGGGTTTTTATCATAAATTGTATTGTTTGTATCGGAAGTTTTCCCTCTTATGAAGAGAAATGTCTCCAGTGTTGTGATAAAGTATTCTTCATATAACGGGATTGTAATTATTTATTGGATCCGTTTGTAGTAAAAGAATCCTAAAGAGCCCATTGAAGGCCACGCCCACCGCGAGTAAATCTCATTCACACACACAAAGGCCGGCGTGTACAGATCCGCGCTGCGTGTAAAGGCGTACCGGGCCGCTCCCGGGAAGGAGAGGTGCTGCGTGTTATTAGTATGCAGTTGGTGAGGATACTCTCCGCACACCTTTCAGCAGTCCCGGCCAATAAACGAAGATGGTGCTTGCAGTAACTCCACGGATGGCACCGTGCAAAATACACAATTGGAAGAATAGGTCACCAGCACTCCAAATAGTTAAAATGAATAAGTCCTTTTTATTGGACAATGGTGTCACAAAAATCAAAACAGAGCCGACGTTTCGGGGCCGCGCAGGGTCCCTTCCTCAAGGCAAGAGATGTGACCTATTCTTCCAATTATTAGTATGCAGCTCTGTCCTTAGTTAGTCACATGTAGCGTGCGCTCTGTCCCTGGGGGGACGTTGTGGATTTCTGATACTTTGACAATTAAAAGGATAATTCCACTCTTTCAGGTAAATTTGGGGGAAATTGAATTACCCCCTCCCCCATATGGCCCCC